TTTATTCCACCTTCCATAGCTACTCTACCTTCCATAATTTGTCTTTATTTCCTTAAGATTTTACAGATATCTATTGTCAACTGGTATAACGACTTGATTTACAAAATCTTCTATTCACGTTCTTTCTATTTAATAATTTAAATGATTTTTTTAAACTTAAATTTAATTAATATTCCTGCAAGTTTAGAGTTTCTAAGGCTCTGCACTCTACAATACTTTAACTTTTGACACTATTTTGATAAGTGTTGGTGTACTCTTTTTTGGATTGGAGTTTTAAACCTTCTAATAGATGTTACTTTAAAGTTAGCTCCAAGTTCACAAAAAATCTTTCAAAATATTTTTAGTTTGTTTATCCACCAGTACCTTTTTTGATCCAAAAATAATATTTTTACTTTTTTATTCATTCAGTTTTTTTGCTATTAGAATATTAGTTTCCAAATTATGTTGACTGTTGATGTAATTAAATAAGTTGGTATTGAATAGGGTTCTATATTAAGTAGAAATAACATTCTACTTAATATAGAACCCTAAGCATTAACAAAGTAGAAATACAAATGCTTGTTACTCTATTTTGTTAATGCTTGTTAACTACTATTTTTCTATTTTTTTATTATTATTTTTTTTTTAATATTTTGTAATTAAATAAAATAAGCTTTTATAAAGTTTTTACAAAGTACAAATATTTAATCAAAGCTTCTACCGGAGTTGGCAGTAAGACCTTGTCTTATTATCTAAAATTATAAAATTTTTAAATTTTTTCATAATTTTTGGTTTTAATATTTTACTTTCAACAACTTTGGTTTTCATGTTAGATGCAGTAATTATTTAATAGTTGTTATTATATTAATTATTAATAGTTGTTATTAATATTAATTATTATTGTTGTTATTAGTATTATTTATTATTGTTGTTATTAATATTAATTATTAATAGTTGTTATTATATTAATTATAAATAGTTGTTATAATATTAATTACACAAGCCAACAAATTTTTTTTTTTCTGGTGCCAATTAAACAATTAGTTTTTTTTTATAGTATTTCTCATATTAATTTCAAATATGAAACTCATTTTTCACCATCACCTTAAGTTGTAAAGATATTTGGGTTCAAATCATTAGTATTTGGAGTAAAATCCCTAATATTGTCGAAAAAAAAGTTATTTAAAAATATGTCAACCTGGGTCTCAAAAGAAGCGTATTTTCATAGAGATTTTGGAAAACGGTAATATTTTTTCTTAAAAATCATAAACAAAAAAATTATAGGAAAAAATGCAAAAAATTTTTAACAAAATGTTTTTTAGCAATAATACAAAAAGTACTTACTTTTATTACAAACAAATAACATCTTTGAAATCTCCATGAAAACACACTTCTTTTGAGACCCAGGTTGAAATACTTCTGAATAACTTTTTTTTCAACAATATTAGGGACTTTAATCCAAATACTAATGATTTGAACTCAAATATCTTTACAACTTGACGTGATAGTGAAAAATGAGTTGCATATTTGAAATCAAAATGAGAAATACTATAAAAATACTAATTGTTTGATCGGCACCAGAAAAAAAATTTTTTTTGTTGGCGTGCGTTATTAATAGTTGTTATTAATATTAATTTTCCTGCGTCAATTTAATTTAATTTATCATCTGAGTAATATCGTAGGTAGTAATTTGGTTAACTGTATATGTTTCACAATATAAGGCAATATAGTTTACTGTTTGGTTTCAAAATGACAAAAGTTACTAAAGACTCATAAGTGTAAACAAAAGACTACATTAATTAAAGTTACATTCATAATTATATTATTATAATCATAAAAATAGCATTATGAACACATTATTCTTATCACTCTCAATTATTATTATTATTCTTATCACTCTCAATATCTATCATTATCTCTATATTATTATTATTATATTACATATCACTGTACAAATAATATTATCATTATCACTATATTATTATCACTATATTACATATCATTATACAAATGATATTATCATTATCACTATATTATTATCACTATATTACATACACTATACAAATAATATTATCATTATTGCATAATTTTATCATTATCACTCTCACATAATTATATCATCATTCTCATAAAAATATTAGAAAAATATTGCATTCATAAATTATGAATAAATACACTAAAGATAAAAAAGATCTATGTATCTTATGTTTGAAGTCATTAACTATAGTAATTGAACAGTGGGTTCACTGTTCTATTATGTTCGATAAACAGTTTATAAAAATATACATACAACTTTTTGCAGATTCTTTTAAGAAATAAATTCTCAATGCAAATATTCTAAAAACAATTTCAAATTCTAAAACAATTTTTATAGTATAAACTGTCCTATACTTATAAAAAGGTAATGGATTCAGCAAACAGTATTTTCTTTCTTTTTATTAAAACCGTTTTAGTTTTCAGAATATATATATATATATATATATATATATATATATAATATATATATATATTGTATATGATG